CCGCCCCGCCCCTCGCGCGGGGTCCGCGTCTGCGGCTGCGTTCCCCGAAAGACGAAGCTGCGCCCCGGTTCCGGTCCGCAGGGAGACCGAAGGGCATCGCTTCTCGCGCCACGACCGCTGCTGATCCCGGAGTGCTGACACCCCAGGGATGTGAGTGCGCCCCCGACCCTGAGGCCCGCACTCCACGCCCCGCTTCGCGGTGAGCGCGCGCAGGGACCAGGGGAGGGGACTCGGTGCGGGGTTCCCGGCCCCCCAGCCCAGGGGTGGGGAAGAGGACAGGGACGCGGCGCGCACCCCTCCCCCGCCGGCAGGTAAGGTGCGCTTCCTCCTCCCGCCTTTCCTGTCCGGACGCACCTACAGCTCCCTGGGGAGAGAAGACACCCTGCTCACGCAGGTGCAGGGCGAAGGTTGTGAGGACCTCGGGCGGCCACCTCACTAGAGAGGGCAGATTTCTCTTCCCTGGCGGGGAAACGGTGATGGTGGATGCTCTGGGAGATGGGTTGGGGGTGGGGCATCTCAGGCTCCTGGAAGGACTCCCCCCCTTCCCCGTGATTCCTGGGGAATGGTCGTTTCCTGGGTCCGAAAATGGAAGGGTCCTTGGCGTTGGGTCCTCTGACTGAGGCTTTTCCCTTCCAGGCCTGCCCCCCAGAGGACTTCTGTCTGCAGCCCCCGCTCCTCTCTCAGGCTCTCTCAGAGCATGCTGCCTGCGGCCATGAAGAGCCTCGGCCTGGCACTGCTGGCCTTGCTGCTGTGCCCCTCGCCGGGTGAGTCGGGGGCCCACAGGGAGGGGTCCCATATGAGTGGGACCACCACTTATATCTCAGCTCCAGCCATTGGGGCTCTCCCCCACCTGAAGACATCCAGCGTCTTTCCAGCGGGCTTCTGGTACTGCGTAGAGGTCCCTCATTCTCAGAGGTCCAGCGGGCTTCCTATTAAGTCGGGTGGGCCTTTTCTGTCTTGGAAACCTCCCATCTTTGAGGGTACTATGTGGAGAAGTAAGAGGATGGGGGAGGCAGGATGTGCAGATACAGCCACAGGGTCAGCCTGGAGGCCCTTTGGTCGGGTCTTGTGGGAGTGGAACTCGTCTATGGGCATGGGTCTGCCATGACAGCTGCAGCAGGTTGGGGAAAAGAGGGTGCAGGGTCTGGGTGTCCAGGCCTGGGTTCCTCTGGTCATCACCCTCCCCGTGCCCTGCCTAGCCCATGGCCTGTGGTGCCAGGACTGCACCCTGGCCAATTCCAGCCATTGCGCCCCGAAGCAGTGCCAACCGACCGACACCGTTTGTGCCAGCGTGCGGATTACCGACCCCAGCAGCAGTAAGCCCGGACCTGGTGAGGGCGCGGGGCTACTGAAAGGGAGATGTGGGGAGAGGTCAGAGGTGTCCTCTGAATTCCTCTTGCCTGGGACAAGAGCATGAGTTTGAGGCAAGACGATACTGGCTTGCTCCTCCCTGACTCCAAGTCCGAAACTGATCTTTAGGACCCTGGGTCCTGGGGGGAGGGACAGCGCTCAGGTGGAGATGGACCTCAGCATCATGCCTTCTTCTTTCCCCCCAGGCAGGAAGGATCATTCTGTGAACAAGATGTGCGCGTCCTCCTGCGACTTCGTTAAGCGGCACTTTTTCTCAGATTATCTGATGGGGTTCATTAACTCTGGGATCTTAAAAGTCGACGTGGACTGCTGCGAGAAAGATCTGTGCAACGGGGCGTCAGCAGTGGGACGCAGCCCCTGGGCCCTGGCTGGGGGGCTCCTGCTCAGCCTGGGGCCTGCTCTTCTCTGGGCTCAGCCCTGAGGCCCCTCCCTCCCTCCTGCAGGGCCTTGGAGCTTGTCCCCTGAGCCCGTTGCTGCCCCGTCCCCAGCCTGGCCTGGCTAGGGTTGGGACCGCAAGAGCTTGGCATCAAGGTCTGTGGCTCTCAACCTCCCTAGATGTGAGCCTTCTCCGTTTCCCCACTAGCTCCATATCCCAGGCAGCTGGACATCTCCAGGAGACCAGACATCCTGGCAGGAAGCTGGGGTGGGGGGAGGGGGAGGGCAGGGGACAGGGACCCTCCAGGTCCCCAAGGGGAGGGAAACCAAGCCAGGGACAGCCCAACAGCCTGGCCTGAGGGGCATTAACTACAGAGAAATAAAGTCACTTCTGAGTCTTGTGCCTGGATCTGAGCCTGGGTGTTGGAGGTGGGGGAGGGTCTTGATAGGGAGCAAGGGCCGGGCCAGGCCCGGTGACACCTGACAGGTGGGGGTGTGGTCAGGGGTTCAGAATGGTGGGTGTATATGCTGGGACACCTGGAGATGCCCTGAGTAGAGAACTGCTTGGGGCTGGGAGCTCGGGAGGGGACACTTAAGGAAGGCGGGGTGGGAGCTAAGATGGACAGGATCACACTGTGGGGCTGCGGAGGAGGTGTGAGCATTTTGCATGGGTATAAGAGGTGCTTGTCGATGCCTTCTACAGGGCACATGGGCAGCCTGCGTGTGTGCCTTCTGCTGGTGCCAACAGACCGCAGTCAGTGCCTACTCCGCTTACAGTCACATGGTCACACTTACAGGTGCCTGCACACACAGGCGCCGAAATACCCTCCCCAGCGTCCCCATCACCTCATGTGGTGTGTCCAGATACACATTCACACCCTGCCTGGGATGCGCATTTGCCCATTTGAAGACCTGTGTGCCTGTCCAGCTCTCTTTTGCTTCTACCTGCCCTGAATCCCCAGGGGCTTGGATTTGGGTGGCGGAAAACGCTGGGGTGGTTGAAGGCCCTGGGGTTGCTTAAGGTGGAAGTGGAACCCTCACTTCCTGGGCTCTGCCCCTTCCCTGGATATCTACACCTGCTGCCCCACTCTGAGCTGTGGTCCTGCATGGATGGAGTTCTGAGCCCTGAAGATGCTGATCCCCGTGCAAGGTGGCAAAGGCGGGCAAGATGGGGAAGACTCGTACAGGTAGATGAGCTGTTCTGGCCCTTCCGCCCCAGCTGCTGGTCTTCAGTTTCCTCCCTGAGTCCAGCCCTGCCTTCTGTTCCTTGCCAGGTGTTCCACAGATGGTTTGCGTGTACAGGCTCACCCTGCCACACTTAGAGGACACCCCAGGCATTCCCAGGGGCCTGAATTTTGGCCAGTGCTTCCCCCCATGCCACCTGTAGCTGACCTAAACCCATGGCCACTGCTGGGCCCTGGCTCTGCCCAGAAAGGGAACTAGTTTCTGTAGGATCTAGCCTTGACATTGTTCCTGGGTGCCGTGCATAGGTGACAGGAGTAAGGGTTCAGGTGGGGGACTGGGAGCGGGGAGCTTCCTGTCATCATTGATTGCTGATGTCTGAACTCAGATGGAAGAAAGAAGGTTAGTGCCTCTTACCTCCTTCTAAAGTGCTGCCTCTGCTGATGCCTGGTGCCTGGGGAGCCCAGAACACAGCTGGTGGAGGGAAAGGATGTATATGGAAGGAGCAGGAAGGCTGCAAGTGCTGGGTGCCTGGGAGAAGTCCTTGAAGCTTCTGGAAGGCCAAGCTGCTGGCTGGAGACGAGCTTGGAGCCCACATTCGTTCAGGCAAAACTTTATGTGCCAAATGCATTGTCTGAATGGTCCTTAAGAACAAGAAGGAGCAAGACTTCTACCTCATAGAAGAACACATGAGATTAGAAGGGAAACTCTCTTGTTGTACCCCTGAGGGGCTCCGGAGGGAAGGGTAGCAGGCAGAGGGTCGGGCCCCTCCAGCAACCTTCTCTGAGCTACCAATGTCCTCATCTCAAGAAGAGTTCCTGTGGTCAGCTTTGGTGTGGTATCAGGGTGCCTTCCGCAGTGGTGATAGGTACAGGCTCTCAGGACAGGGCTGAGTGCGCCCTGTGTCCCTGGTCTTTATTTTTTTAAATTACATTGAGTTTTGTTGTATTGTGAATGTGTGTGTGGTACACACGTGAAGGACAGAAGACAACGTGGGGGGGGGTTGGTTCTCTCTCTTTTTATCATGTGGGTTCTGGGGATGAAACTAAGCGTCAGGCTTGGTTGCACGTGTCTTAATGGGCTGAGCTGTCTCATGCCCCTCCTGGACCTTTTTGCCAAGCAGCTCCTTAGCAAACTCCTCCTAGGGAGTTACAGATGACCTGTGGTTTCCAAGCTCTGACATGTCCTGGGAATGGACAGCACTGCTTGATTTAGTCACCCACTAAGGGAGGAGAGGACTTTTTTTTTTTTCTTCAGATTTCTGTCAGTGACTTTGGAGGGTCTGTCCTTGTCATCCTGTGCAGTGGTTTCCAGCCTGTGGGTCGTGACCCCTTTGGGGTCAAATGACCTTTTCACCAGGGTCGCATATCAGTTATCCTTCATACTAGATATTTACATTACGATTTATAACAGTAGCAAAATTAGAGTCACGAAGTAGCAACGAACTAGTTTTACAGTTGGGGGTCCCCACTCCATGAGAAATTGTATCAAAAGGTCACAGTGTTAGAAAGATTGAGAACCACTGTGCTACGGGCTGAGGTGATCAGACATGAAGGGGTGATTCTGAGGAAGGGGGAGGTGGGGCAGAGAGGAAATCTTAGGCAGAAATAGATCCTCTAACAAGGCAAATGGCTCTGTCCTGCCAAGCTCTTGTGTCCTTTCTGGCTGTGTATTGTCAGGGGGTTCTGTTCATCCAATGGATACAGGATAGAGCCTTTCTGGCATCCCATCTGACATCATGTGGGCAACAGCTGAATGTCCTCGAGGTTCAATAGCCACAGTGTCCCTTGAGGAGCTCCTGGCGCCTTCCTGCTGACCTCCCATGCTGGTCCTGGTCTCTTCCTGGCATACACATCTCTTTGTGGGGCTGGCAGTTTGATGGGTACTTCCTTCTGTCTTGCTCTATGGTACTCTGTGTGCACTCTGAGACTGGAAACACTAAGGCCTATCTAATTCTCGTACAGTCTGGGGCTTCCTGCCCCAGAACCATCTCTGTCTTCTTGTGAACCCACACTGTGTGTTCTTGGATGTTGACAGGTTTGGTAGCTACACTCAGGCATCCATCCACCTGAGCTACATTGTGGCAGGAGGGAGCTCTTCCAACTGGCTACTGTCTGTCAGCGTCGTGTAACCAAGCAGCCCGATATCCACGCAGATTTAAAACATGACCTTTCCAACATGGTGCATTCCTGCCTGGACAGGATGCTCAAGATTGGCTACCCTGTGAGTTCTGCCACATGGGCCTTTGCTGTGCCTTCTCGATTCGGAGAAGCATTTCAATGGCTCTGAGGCAAGTGACACATACTCATGACTCCTCTGGGAACATTGTCACTTCTCCCCTTGATTCAGATATTAGTGAAGTCTCCCAGAGAGAGTCTCCTCTGTTAGAATCCATTTAGAGTTCACTCTCTGGGGTCTGAAACTGGGCTGCAGGCGCGGTCCTTCTCACTCAGATACTTCAGGGACTCCGGAATGACATCACTCTGTAGGCTCCTGTAGCTTCCTTCACACTGACTGCTTCTTTCCCTAGGTGTGTATTGATGGACAATCCATAGTATAATGGAGCTTCCCTTTGCTTCTAAATCTAATTAGTCATACTTGTTTGGGAAGCTGACGCTTTTGGCTTTCTGGGTGATATCTTGTTTGTCAGTGGCCCACTCCATGTGAACAAGCAAATGAGAGCAACTGGCAGGCCAGTGGTGAGGCCCTGAGTGCCCTGGCCCTTGTACTTCCAGAAGCTGACACCCCGTTTACCTCTCTGAGAGGTGAACAGACATCCCTAGGAGGAGGCACTCAGACATTTCAGGAGAGAGCATGTCGTCAAGTGGAGGATCCACTCAGCTAGGACAATTCTGTCATGAATGTACCCCCAAGGTCCTGGATCTGAGGGCAGTGATGGTGTGATGGTGGGTCACAGGCACGCCCAGAAGGGAGACAACACATGCAAGGAAGAAGATCCTCTTGGCTGATGACCACTGGGCTGACACAGTTTTCACGGATGCCTAGTGACTGACGTGATATCTGCTTTCCCCACCCTTCCTTAGGCACCACCTGGGAAGACAACAGGAATGGCTGCACTGGATAAGACAAGCATAGGCCTCCTTGGTGAGAAGCTAAGTCTAGAAATAAGACAGCGGGAATACTACTGCCATGCTCTTCAGCTAGCTGAGTGGTGGTCCCTGAACACACAATGCTCACTGTAGTGCAGACCCCAGAGTCTGCCTGATAGCTCAGGCACAGGGTTTAATAGGACTTCGCTAGTGGAGTCCAGTGGAGACATGTGCTGTATCAGCTACATGGCCCTTACCTTGGGGTGGCGACTCCGAGTCACTTCTCCCTAAGCCAACCCTACTCACAGCCTCTGAGCAGTGAGCTGCCCTTGGGCCTTGGGCCTGGGAGGTGTAATTTCTAAATCCTGCAGTGGGAAGGTGGGGTCCAGACATGCGGAAGGGTCTGCACATTGAGACCGATGCAGACCACACCACAATTAGAGGGGAAGGAAGGAAACTCCCTGATTCTAAAGTCACCATTGGCCTCATCAAGGCCTAAAACCACAATGGTTTGCAAGTGAAGACATCCAGCCTCGAGTCCAGCTTTTCTTTTCTGGTCAGTTTCTATGTTCATGGCCCAGACTCTTTGCAGCGTGGCTGAATGGTGTCAGCAGCCCTTGAGGTTTTTGTTTTTGTTTTTGTTTTTGTTTTCCCCAGAAGAAGGCCTTTCCACTAGCTAAGGACTAAGCTCCCAGGCTTGGGAAGCAGTCGTTACTCACCTTAGACTGTTTATCCATATTTCAATTCGATTTTTAAAGTCAAGAATGGCTGATGAATTTCAAAGAAAAGCTCTCTGCCGTCTGTTGGCACAACCACCCGTGTCCCTGGCTTAGTAAGCAGATAATTCGCTGAGTCCCATTGCCAGGTTTCCTGATGGCAAGTCACCCAGGCCCGAGTGCCGTGTTTTAAAACATTGCCATGTTAAACAGGCAGTGTTCGGTCAGGATGTGTGTGTCACAGATTTGCCCTTGGTTCACTGACATATTCATCAGAGGAGAGTTTAGCACTGTGACCGCTGTGCAGGGCCACAGGCGTCCCCTGCCTCCCACGCTCTGGAGCAGTTTGGCTGCTTGGAAATCAATGGAGTCCTCCAGCCCCATGGGCAGCGGTCTGTCATCGTCAGTGGGTATCCCTGTGCCCTCCCTGTTCTCTGTGTCCCTGGGGACACAGGGTTCCC